CCACCAGAGTGTGGGCCACGCAGTGCAGGCTCAGCTTACACCCACCTTCCCATCAGGCCTAAGTACCTCTTGTTTCCTACCCTCATAGAACCATCAAGTCTGAGGAAGAGGGCCACTGCTTAGGCGGGGCCTGAGCCTGGGTCCCAGGAGGCAGGAAGTCCAAGGGCCAGGAGGAAGCCTGTGATGGGAGGTGTGAGCACCCAGAGTATGCAGAGGATCTGTGCATGCAGGGTGTAGCGAGTACGGCCTCTGGACCAGGCTGCCATCAGTGGGTTGAGGTAGGAACAAGCATGCAGGTACCAGTTCCTGCCTTTCTCCTCCTGGAGTCAAAAGGTATGTGAAAATCCATCTCGCGGCTCCCGTGGGCCAGGTGCTTTGGCACTCCGTCTCCTTCTGTGTCTCCAGGCCGAAGGAAGAGCACAGAGGTTGATTGGCTGCTGGGGGTCGGGAGTGGGGGGCGGGGCGGTAGGGTTCCAGGTGTGGCTACACCTCTGAGCTCATCTCATGACCAAGTATGGTACAGCTGAGGTGATTTTTGAAGTGCTTTGGGGGAAGATATAAGCACCTGCTAGATCTCTGTCTAAGCCCTTCCTAGACAGTGAGTAATGGGAACATAATTAGTCTTTACCTGTGGTTGGACCGGGACCCTTTGGATCCTGCCCAGCTCTGTACCTATACCTCGTAGGAGTAGATAGTTGGTCCGCCACAGAAAGCCTGTACCCTCCAGCACAGAGCCTCTATGTTCCAGCTAGATTCTCCTCCCTTCTCTGAACACTAGACAACTGATGCATCGTAGGAAGATTCCCAGTATATGATCAACTAGGAGGACTTATTTGTATTGGGTTCTTCATGGGAGTGTGGCACTTTGAGACGAAGTCTTGCTGTGTAGCCCAGGCTGGCCTTTGAACTCAGAGTTCTGTGTCTGCCGGGTGCTAGGATTACAGCTGTGAGCCACCACACCCAGCTGGGACATGCCATCTTGTCTTGTCATCCTCTGATCCTCACAATGGCACTTCTATGGGTGACTGGGATGACACAGAGGGAGGCGGTGGCTTTCACTGGGCCACAGGACTGGGAAGTACAGAGAGAGCATGAAAGGTGGGCCACTTCCTGCAGCACCCTCTCCCTACGCCAGCGCTCCACCAGACAGCAAGCTGGGACTGGTGTGTGAAGGCCAGCTGGGGAGATAAATGCAGCATGCCAGGGGTGGAGTACAGTGGCTTCCTGCCTTCATCCTGCAGCACTTTCGCCCTGCAAAGGAGCTCAGGACTGATGTCTCACATATGCATGCTTTTTACACCCTCTTGCCCTAACCTGTCTTCATGTTCTTCATGCTCGGCGGCTTCCAGAAGTACCACCATCACATGCATACAACTCCTTGCCTGCTTTTGTGCACGCTCCCTTTGTCTCCTAGGACACACCCATCCCAGCCTTCCAGTCCATGTCTGCAGCCACCTGCTCAGGAGCCTACTCTGATGGTACCACCAGCCAAGCTGTCTACATCACCTCCATCCCTGAATGCTGCCAGACTGCCTGCCTCCCTGTCAGTATGACCATAGAGACTGCCTGGGCAGGTCCTCAGTAGCTCATACACTTGAATTCTGGTCCTCACATGAGCTGAGAATTAGTACTAATGGCTCCATCTTACTGATGAGAAAACTGAGGCATAGGAACTCTCATTTGCCAGTGTAACACCTCATGGTGGAAACTACCCAGTCCCCCCACCTCTAGAGGTAGAATAGAGGTTGCTCTATACTGTTACCCAGTGACTTTACAAGCAGTCAAGTACAGCGGAGATGGGGACACACACGGACAGACCAGGCTCCTGTGAAGGATTGTCCAGATGCCGTTCTTCAGATTTAGGGAAGAAAAATCACTGGTGTTGAACAGCAAAGGCAGGATTAGTATCAAGGCTCCCAAAGTGACTGGCATCCCTGCACCTTGCAGCCTGCCTTGGTGCTCCTGCAACTGTGCTTTTTTTGAAAGATGCACAGTCCCAGGCGCCTTGATGATGCTGAGCTGTTCAGCAAGTGGCTGTGGTCCTTCTCCCCTCAATTAAAACGAGAGAGAAGAAAGAAGAGAAACCAAGACATTGTTCTCAACTGCAGCTGGTGCCAAATAGAACAGTGACCCAGCTGCATAGGATGGAGCAGGAGCCGGCCACCCAGAGGCCTGGCCTCACCCCTTCTGTAAGTATTAGATGTCATTGGGGAGGGCTGGAGGACCACTGCCACCCTCATGCCTTCCTTCCTCATCTGCCTGCAGCCTTGGGTAGCTGGACCTCTTCCCTGGCAGGCAGACCCCCACCCTACCAAGAAAGGACTATGGGTACATGTCTGAGGGTGTTGCAAATCTCTCTCTTGTAGAACATCACTTTAAACACCGGTTCGATTCTAGGCTGAACACAGCAGGCTTTGCTACCCACTCCCAGTAAGGTATGCCATCTGCAGGGGTAGAGGACTGGGACCCCAGAGGCACGTCAAATGGCTTCTCTGCTGAGACAGTTACCCATTTGCTCTTTGGAAAGGGCTCTCCAAGACTCCATGGCTGTCTCCTTTTGCTCACACCCCTTTTAAGAGATCCCTCTTGCACCTGAACTCTGACCTTCCCAGGCCATGGGCCATTCTGTCCCAGGTTACTCCAGTGATCAGCCCTGCAAGACCAACATTCTGGTCATTGGTCAGGGTCTACAAAGTAGCTCCTGCCAAGGTTAGCGTCTCAAGCTCCCTTCTCCCCTGGGAATAGCACTTTTGAGTTTGTAAAGAGCACCTTCTATCCCACACAAGTGCCACAACAGCCTCAGGAGGCAGGCAGATTGCACAACCCACTTTGTGGAAGGAGAAAATGGCTTGGTGGTTTGGCCAGTATTATACAGGTGTGTGTGGGGGGGGGGCGTCTTGTCAAGATTTGAATCCTGATAACTTGATTCAGTGTCACCAACCCAGGTAGTAGTGATGTTTCAAAAGATGCCACTCCTATCCCCAGATGCTGCTGAGAGACAGGATCTCAGACACTTTCATTCATTCAACAAATGAATATTATTGGCTCTAAGCTGTGTCGAGCACAGAGCTAAGTGCTAGGGACCCAACAAAGAGGAGGGCAGATGTGAACCATGTTGCCCCCTCACCTGACATTCTGATGGAGGAAACCAGTCCAACAGTCCCATGCAGAGACTCCTGTTCCCAGAGGTTCAGCCACGTGCCCCAGAAGGAGCCCTGGACCCAGAGTATTGGAGACATAGGCTCTCTCTTGCCCTAGGGTTGCTTCTTCCTGGCTATGTAGACTAAGAAAGGCTTTCTTGACATCTGTAAGCACGTAGCTTCTCCCCTGGTTTCTAGGTCCTTGCCCTATTCCCACCTTCTAGGTCAAGTGGTTAATGATTTCCTGGCATGAGTAATTATCTTGGCACAGTGTTTTCTTAAACCCAACTTTTCACGGGCACTTGAAGCCAGAGAGGGGCTTCTCAGGTCATCTGACTTGAACCCCCTCACTGAGCAAGAACACCTTAGCCCCGTCCTTCCCAGGAATTAATTTTTGTTTTTGTTTTTTTGCTTCCTGTACCTTTCTGGAGGAGATAGAATGCTTGCTCCTTCACAGAGCAGACCTCTGCCCAGCGGTGTGTGTGTGCTAGTAAATGTTTAACATCTGGCTCTCCAGACTGGGGAAAACCTGATTCGTAGTATCTGTTGATTCCCTTAGTGTAAATAGTCCTACCATGGTGACCTGGTGCTGTCTGCTTAGCAGTTCACACACTTGGTGAAAGTTTAACTGCCGCCTTTCCTAAGCCAGTACCAGCAGGCTGCAACACAGAGTTGCCCCCAAGAGAAGCCTGGTCCAACTTGCTGGAAAGTTCTTCCTGATGTTGAGCAAAATACTTCATTGTCCACATGCAGCCCTTCACACCTTGATCTGAACCTCGTGAGATGGGTAGATCCTGGGCTTAGCAGAGACGGTACAGCCACCTTCCTTTTTCTGATCTTCTCCTTCACTTCCTGTCACAAATATTTATTGGGCCCTGGTGACGCCGTGGTGCTAGGTACTGTGGCTACACAGACCCTATCTTAGATCCCCTGGCTCCACCTACCCTGCCTGTCCACCTCCCAGACCCCACTCAGACCGACTGCCTCCCTTTCTCTTCCTGCCTTGGGCAGCCTGCCTCCCTCTCAAGCCCTCCCAGAGCCTTTATCGTCCCTTTTGGCACTTATCACTTTCTACCTCGGATTACAGCTATTTGTGTACACGGCTTATCTTCCTGCCAGACAGAGAGGCAGCTTGGGCTGTTGAAAGTGTGGACTTTGGAGCCATGTGACCTGGCCTTCCATTCCAGCCCTGCCACTGGGGATATGCGTTCTCTGGAGCTTACACCACCTTTGGGAACCTCAGTTTCCTTATCTGCAAGGCAGGCCTGGTGATAACCACTTCCAAGATGGTTTTGGCCATTCAGTGGGATTAAAATGTAACCCCCTTTTCCGGTTCCTGTCTGGACTTCCATCCTCTTCTGGATAGACTTTGTGCCAATGCCTCTTCTTAGTCTCTAGTTAATTAGACTCTAATACTAGTAACAACAGACACATATATAAGAATACAAGATACAGGGTCTTAATCCAAGAATTTACATATGTGGAAGCCTTTCATCCTCCAAAGCTTGGAACTAACCTATTTCTGTCAATAGCAGATAGTGTGCTGGGTACAGTAGCACACACCCATAATCCCAGCGTTGTAGAGACCGAGGCAGGAGGAACATCAAGAATATGATGCTAGTGCCGGGCGGTGGTGGCGCACACCTTTAATCCCAGCACTCGGGAGGCAGAGCCAGGCGGATCGCTGTGAGTTCGAGGCCAGCCTGGGCTACCAAGTG